GAGCTAATAATAAAAAAAATAATAATAGTGCCGGGCGGCAACCGCGAGTGCCGGGCACACCCGCCCACCGCCGCCCACCGTGGGCAGAACTCTGATTTAATATTTTTGTCACCTACTTTTGTGGTCTTCAGCATTTGGCATCCATGGAGAAATCAAATTTACTACTAATGGATATACTAACGAATGACCCCAGAGCATGGAAGGACATTAAATATAAAAATTTCTACCTCTTTCTTATGTATTTTCTTCACAGCCTTCACTATGATGCTATCGTCTTGTAGGCTCTTCTTGAGTGATTCCAGTTTTTGTTGAAGTGCTAACGTTTCCGTATGTTCTTTTTCCCAAGAAAAATCGATGTTTTTGATATTTTCTGTCAGAGAATTTTCTTTTTCTTTGATCACGGTTATGTAAGTGTCCATCTGTTGCAGAAGGTTCCTTAGATTCTAGATGAATGAAACAGAAATGAAAATTTTATGTTATCATACAATATTTTGCACAGATAATAGTACTAATTTTACACATCTTTTCAACTGCACATATGTATATAAGTTTAAAGGAACAAGATATATGGTATTTTAGCTCCCAAGCACTCTGAGATTGTGCGGGCTGTTTTAATAGCCAGATTACATCACATTGCTATATTTACAAATGCGTTGCTAGAATACACATGGATCAATAGTATTTATATGTAAGATCCACTTAAAATTATAAATATTCGCTGCACCGATAAATGCCAGATCTTTTTCCTTTAAAGTGGATAAACCTTGCAACAAAAAGTTTACATACACCTACTGTGAGCATACTTGCATTATGCGAACATCAGACTGTTCTATTGAGCCAGAAATCTGGCTCGCAGACTAGAAGATTTTAGAAAACCGGCGCATCCGACTAGTTTTGGGTATAAATACACATACATTATGTTGAGCGAAGAGGGTAGCGTTAGCGGCAAAATAGTTTTTTCCTGGAAAGAAAACACTATATTGTTTGCTGATGCATAACTAATTGTGGACTAAGCATATGATTTAAACACGTAATCTTCACTATTTTTGTACTGAACAAACATTAAATAATGAATTAAACCTTGTTTTAAAGTGATTACGTCACAGAATTTCTCGGGCAGCCGACCATTTGTGTGTTATTTGTACCAAATAAAATGCTATGAAATACAATTAGTGTTTCTGTTTACTTTTCATGCTATGATCCTTCCTTTATATGCCGCTACATTTGGGCGCCGGTGAAAAAGCAGAGAGACGGCCAGTATCTGAACAGTCTGGGAATAGTGTTAGACAACAGAAATTACCAAATCGTCTAGATTTTTGCAAATTTAACCAACGTAAAAACATTTTTATCACGGTGAGCAGTTTGAGGATATATTTAGTAACGTTAGTTCTTTGGTTTTAATGGTAAAAAATGGCAATTTTTTTTTTACAGAAATTTTACCGACGATGGACATTCGTGATGCGTAGTCAATTTAACATAGAAAAGAACTGTTAACGATCCCTCGGCTTTGTTCCGGATGTGTAAACATCACTGTGGTGCTACTTTCGTTAGACAAGGACTCTCGTTTAGATTTTATGATAAAATGTTATGAAAATAGCAATACAAATGAGTTGTAGTGAATTTTTGCAACATAGACGAGCTCACAGTAGGTATATCTATGCATTTTGCTGCGAGAACATGCTGCTTTAAAGCTGCTTTTCCCAAAAATCTATCAATGTATCTGATCAAAATAGTTTTCTATACAAGCATTTTGTGCACGAAACTATTTTGATCAGATAGTCTCAACACAAAAGCTGCCACTAATTTCGATGTTTACATCGGTACAAAGCCTTCCACGCTTTTGTCAAGAGTAATACCCAGCGACTTTAGAATGACTCGCCTTTTCTGGATATATTATCTGTGCATTGTTAGCACATGCAAAATAATACATAAATTAGCCGGGATTTGTGCCAAACTATTTAATGAACATAAGCTTGATAAAGAGATCATTAATTTCTGAATGCCACTTTAATATGAAGTTAAAAAACGTTTTATTTCATCATCACGCAAATTATTATTATAGATTACCGAGCATGCACTAATCTAACCCCTGTTGACACTGCTGCTGCACCATCTATGCATGTTCAAGTAACGCTGAGAGGGTCTATGTCCCCGAGGGTACTGCCGGAACGTACCCTGGGTACGGTCCGGTATACCAGAACGTACCCTGGTACTGTCTAATATGCCAGACCGTACCTCGCCTACTCCACTAACGAGTCTAGGGAGTCGCCTACGCCTACTCCCTAAGCCTAACCATATCAAATAGCTACCAGGGTACGCTCCGGCAGTAGCCTGGGGGACATAGACCCTATGAGCTCAAGTAACTTTTGAACGAACGGACCTGATAGTTAGTTTACATTTTCCAAACTATATCAATTCACCAGGCTTGTGCTGATCGAACATCATATTTTTCGGACAATTTTTATGTGGCAATCAAAAAATAGTAGCGCGTATATGAACATTTATGACAGCCTTTCATTGGGGGAATGCAGTTTTAAAGTCCATGCATAACAGTAACAAGATGTCATAAACTTCTTTACACACCTTGGTTCTATACCTAATACGCATCAAATATTATAACAACTACAGCTAGTAATCACGTACCCAGGTTTCTGGCTCCGCTTTCTTTTGTTGTTCTTTGGGTTCTAATTTATGTCTGTTAAGCCATTCCTTTACCCATAGCTTATCCTCAACACCTTTTGACTCTAGCCTTGTTTCCCCGAAGGCTGTACTTTCAATTGGTTTTTGACAGGACTGTGATCTAAACCGTATACCCTGAGAAATTTGTGGTGTGGTGCAACCTTGAACACTTCCAGCTGAGACCCAATTCTGTCCACTTTCATACCTCATCATTTGATTACCATTTATACTATGAGTATGACTATGAGCAAGAGGGAAGCTCTGTGGTGGAAACTGTTGCGGTGCCATCTGTTGCTGTTGATGATCAGTTGCATGTGGACAACCGTGAGGCGGCGGCGGCGGCGGTGGTGGTGGATAGTTGTAGGTCTGGTTATATTGAGGAGGGGGATACGCGGCTTGATGCCCAGTAATTACTAGCGGCTGAAAATTGCCTTGGAACGGCGGGGGGTGCCGATTCTGCAAGAGGGGAGAACTTGAATCAGACGAATAGTACTGATGAAATCCATCCATATTGATATCAAATATGAATTAAAATTTTATGTTGTAAAGTGATACGAAGGCAAAACGATCTCACAATTTTGTAAAGAAATTCTACTACTATAACGAAAGCAACCATAAATCCTCCAAAAACCAATTTCATATCTAACACTAGCGACCATATTGGATTAGTGCTGCCACCTGGTGTCAGGAAGTTACATAATTTTTATCATTGAGTAGCTTTTCATTTTTTTTCACAGACATTCATATTTTTAATTCGCACTAACAGTAAGGTCTGTCCATTTTTTCTCTACCCCTGGCTCTACCCTACACACACACACGTACACAGGCGCTCACAGCTTGCTGTGGCGCGGGAGCAAAGGGTTACACAGAGGGGAGAGCCGTTTACAACCGACTAGGGGAGATATATGTATGTTTTTCCGAAAGAGGTACATTTTCTAACCGCACCCTAATCGGTTTATACCAAAGATCGTATAGTGCCGGAGGCCTCCGGTATATAGGGCCTCCGGCACTATACGATCTTTGGTTTATACGGCATATCGTTGAATGACGTAGCATGTATATGCTGTAAAGTTATAGTAGCAGTCATAGTTCTCTGAAGTTATAGTGAGCTTATATGCTCTAAAGTTTGTTGAATTTAGTTGAACGCGAACGACTAATATATATATCTATAGTTAAAAAAACATCTAAATTTACCAATATTTATAAATTCGCGTAAATTCATACCCGAATTACGTTTCAAACACAGACCCACGCCGTTTACGAACGTACCGTATTAACTCGTGTATAAGCGCACCCAATATTTTGCCTTGAAAAGTTGGTACAAACATAGGTACATTAACAAGATTTCTTAGTCTCGTGTATAAGTCGCACCCCTGATTTTTTATTGAAGTTGTGTACAAAAAAGTGCCTCTTATACACCAGGTAAATACGGTAATTAACTAACTCACAAAACCATGCATATTACCACCTTACACCGACCGATCGCCCCCGTAAATTATCTCACATCTTTCGAAGAGCCTGTGCTCAAAGAACAGAGAAAAACTTAACTTATAGAAAAATTAGATCAAATTTGATCAAATTAGATCACCTGGATTTGTCTAAAGTTTCTTTACGGCAGTTCAGCAAGAGTTCACGTTGCTGTCGTAGCCGTGGATTTGACGCGGAACGGTGTCGAGCATTATTAGCTGATCATTTATCTCACACATGTTGGCGCGTGTGTTACCGGCTTGGAACGTCGCGTCGGTAGGGCTAGGAGACGTTGTCCGCTGCGTGGTGATTAGGGCGTACGATCGATCATTAGGACCACTGGTCTTTCGCTCAGCCGTGTCCAGTCCGTCAATACGTTAGCGTCGGCGTGTCGTTGAAACGTTCTTGAAATCTAACTAGTTTTACGTTAATGGATACTGATATTGATATACTATACACTCTCTCGTTCTCTCTCTCTCTCTCTCTCTCTCTCTCTC